TTCTTCCATTATTATTATCAGTCAATAAACTTTAACCACAAAAATTATGAACGCAGAGATACAGAAAGATAAATCATGTTAAATTTCTATTCTAAATGTTCATTTTACTCGCTAGGTGGAGCGGACTGTCCATAAGAGAGAGGAACAGATCCGATGGGGTGATGGTTTCATTTTAGTGCTTTCTCTCGCATCGCGGGATTCTTTGAAAGAAGTTATACGAATTAAGGAAGTAATTGAGCACTTGAATGAAACAGAAAAACCAGTAGTGCTTGTAGCAACAAAGCGCGACTTGGTCCAAGCACGGGAAGTGACTTCCGTGGAAATTCAAGATCTGGCCAAGAGATGGCACTGTCGAATGTTTGAAACTGCCGCCACCGAAGATTACTTGACAGTAGCAGAACCTTTCATAAGCCTTTTTAGGGATATTCGGAAGATAAAAGAACAAAAGGGGATATTTCCTACGTCATTTAAACTGGAGAAAGAGATCGTTATATCGGATGTTCACAGACGATATAAGAGTCGTTTATTAACAAACTAAAATGAAGTGATTTGTTATTCACGGGTTTTCTTGGTGTTACACAGTAATTTTTGTTTGTTTCTTTATTGTTTTAGCGGAAAATTACACAATAGAGTATCTGCGATTTAGCCACCGCGGGAGACAAACCCCGGATTTTAGCGTTGTAAATCTTTAAACTTCCCGTTGGCCCACTAGCTGGCTACAGAAAATTTCTAGAGCTATAATATACTGGCATACATTATTCCATTGCATCATAAGTGACTATCATACTGGCTTTTTTTATATTTCTGTGTCGCACGTTGTTTTTATATACTTATATGTGCTTTTCACGACCAAATGTAGAACAGAAAATTAAATTTAGAGGTATTTGTCTTTCACTTCATCTGTTGGTGTCGTTTGTGGTGCAGAACACATGAACAATTGTGTGTGGAAAACGCTTCAATGTCGCAGAAAAAGAAATTTAGGAATCATTATGCGGCATCTTGTCTTAATGATAATCACAAATAATTTAATATACTTTGTTTTTAACATTCAACAGTAGCACCGAAGTACAAAATTTGTTTACGTCACCTGCTTAATTTTAATTATTTCTTTGTCCCTCTCAGTTAGATCTGGTAATAAACGTCACTAACTGACCTATTAATAATTATAAAAATAATCTTGCATGTTTTAAAAGTATTTTCATCCTACACGTTGATCAAATCAGTCGTAATAATCCATTTATACAGCACTTGAAGCAAAAGTTAGTGAGTTATAATAATTTGGTGTTTAAAAGATGATGGATTATAATCACTTGATGTAAAAGATGATGAATTATAATCATTTGATGTAAAACATGGTGAATTATAATCATCTGATGTAAAAGATGATGAATTATAATCATTTGATGTAAAAGATGATGAATTATAATCATCTGATGTAAAAGATGATGAATTATAATCATTTGATGTAAAAGATGATGAATTATAATCATCTGATGTAAAAGATGGTGAATTATAATCATCTGATGTAAAAGATAATGAATTATAATCACTTGGTTGACAAGATGAAGAATTATAACAACTTGATGTAAAAGATGGTAAATTATAATAACTTGATGTAAAAGATGAATTGTACCAACTTGGTTTAATAGATGAAGAATTATGATAACTTGATGTAAAAGATGGTAAATTATAATAACTTGGTATAAAAGATGGTAAATTATAATCACTTGGTGTAAAAGATGGTGAATTATAATAACTTGGTGTAAAAGATGGTGAATTATAATAACTTGGTGTAAAAGATGGTAAATTATAATAACTTGATGTAAGAGATGAATTGTACCAACTTGGTTTAATAGATGAAGAATTATGATAACTTGATGCAACCTCTCCAGAAGGGAAAGGGATACTCTTACTGGATAAGCCTATTATTTCTCCTTTGCGTGGTTTGTTTAGACTAGAATATAATATCCTTGCTCCACTGCAGGTTT